TGTTGTGAATTGGAAACATGAAATTGTAAATTTTTGCTTTTAACAACATCATAAGACTTTCTTGTGACTTTCTGACTAGACACAAATAACTCATTCTTTGGTTTCTGTAAGATCTTTGTATTTATGTTTCAGACATATCTCTCACTGCAGTTTTCTAATATTTGCCTATCCTTTTTTTTTTATTCCCTAAGATATTTACGCAATGAAATCTGCTCAGATGATTCTGCAGCTCCGAGGGCTGCCTTAGCGGCTCGCCGGTGCTTCTGAGGACCACAGGCCCAAAGTGCCCCTGTCCTGCAGCACGAGCAGCCCTAAAACCCCTGGCTCTTGTTTTGGAGCATGGCAGAACCAACATCTGCACCACAGGGAACACAGACACCACCTATATGGTGTTTAATAAATTATAACCGCCCAGGAATGAGAGGGATATTTGCTGCTAAGCTGTCTTTAAGTGAAATACTGTGAATGAGCAGGTGTTACTTACCAGGCAAACTAAAAAAGTTCTCACATTCCTTAATGACAATTCCAGGGCTTGGCGCCTGCCAGAAATACTCCTGTTGTCCCCAAATAAGAGCAGGGTCCTTCGTGCCAATGCACAAATGCCTAAAAGATGGATAAAGGACAAACATCAGAGATCATTTCTCTGGACTTCTGAAGGCCTTTTCTTGTCTTTGGAACTTGTCCTTGGCCTTTGGCAAAGGTTAAAAAGCTCATGAGGCAGACAAGCAATATGCTGTGTTGTGGATTTCTAATCCACAATCTAACATTTAAGGGGAAGAAGCAAAGCTATAAACAGCTGCAGCTCTATGTGTATTAAAAATACATACCATGACTCCCCAAAGCAGTATGTTCAAACTAGTGGAATTTAGGTACTTATTAATTTCTAAAAAAAGAGAGGAAGAAGAAAGATGAGAAAGATGATAGAAGATGATAAAACTTGGGAATGACAGACTTGTTTTCATCTTAGTCAGAACTAGAGAAGATGTGTAGGCATCTCAAACTCACCCAATAAACCTAGGAAATTATGCAACACAATGCTAAATAACGTGTAATTCACACTGGAAATACTGAATTGCTGAGGGAAGGGATGGGTTGGGGAGCAAGGGCAGCGCTGGAGCAGAAGGACCAACTCTCAGGTCACTGCACCACTGTCCAGGCACTAGCGATGCCCGAAGACACAGACAAGGTGTGAAACAGAGTGAGAATTTCTCTGCTATTGCTGATGTTTTTTGGCTAGAAGTTTCCTTATATGATTATACTTTATTTCCTGATTCAGGAAATATTTTCAATTAGTTTTGACTAAACAACATAGACAACTAAAATAATTCTAATTAAATGATGGAAGAGACAGGCTGAACGTCAATTTGATAAACAAGCTCTAAGAACTTGAAAAATATTCTACAAGGTTCTAGTAAGTTTAAGACATGCATCCAAATCACACACACGCCCCTATAACCATGCACCCCTACAACTGCATTATAGTTTTCTTTCATCTGAACGATGAAAGTCCTTTAAGCAAAATACATCTGCTTGAAAGTAAATCCTGAAGGAAAGAAAATAAGACCTAGAGCTGTGTTTGGGAGCGCGTCCCTGCTAACGAAGGCAGCTGGAGAGCAGATAAGGCCACAAGGGCGTTGAAGGGCCGGCCAAGCCCCGCAGGGCCCCTCTCCCGGCGCCGGGAAGCCCAGCGGCTCTGGGCGATGCGGCCGCTGCAGCCGGAGCACGGCCGGCGCTGGCACCACCGCGGTGCCCTGTGGCTCGGCCACCCCGGCTCTCCCGGCACTGAACAGCCCTGGGCCCCAGCAAGGAGCTGGGCTTGGATGGTGTTTAGCCAGAGCAAAGCTGGACCTTGCTGCCTCTGCCTAGAGCCCCTCCTAAGGGCGTGCTGCTCCTCGCGGGGCGCTCCAGGGCTGCACAGCGGTGGGCACGGCCGCTCTTGCTAAGAAAGGAAAGGTTTTAAAATAGCATCCTTAAATATTTAAGAACAAAGGCTAAAAATAGTAGAGCAGTGTCATTTTGTTTGCTTAGGTGTTGCGCCTCTGCTTACTGCTCCAGAAAAAAAAGAGCATTGAGGAAAAAGAATTTGATATCAGAATGTAGATTCCTTTTCATTTCTGCCTGAAAAATACTGTACCTTAGCTCGCCTCTAAGATTTGCAAAAAATCTCTTTCTCCTTCGCTGTTGGAGTACAATTAAGCAAATAAATAGAATATTGTTAGAATAAAATTGGCACTATAAGGCTAGATACTAGACTTCTAGAGAGGCTCATCTGGAAGCAGGGTACGTGGCACAAATACCACTGTAACTATTCCTGGGAAGTATAAACTTAAGGTAGCAATTTAATTGGACAATGGAGAACACTATACTGGTATTCATGAAAGAAGAAATTAGAGAGGAACAAAATTTCTCTAAATGCTTAGTAAAACAAATACCTGTTACTTTTAGCATATCTGCAAACAGATGTTTCTATAACAGTATGTCACATAAACTGTGTGTAGTGTCTTATACTTACTCCTCATGTAAAAGCTCATTGCTTTCAGAATGTAATTTTTGAAGCAAAATGATGAATACACTAATCAATATTTAATTAATTAAATATGTGTATGCTGGGAAAACCTTACTGCATGAAGTCACTGCATTAGGTTAAAAGAACAGTACTACTTTTAAATGGATTGAATTTGGTTCTCAGAAAGATTTCTGCTGCATTTTAGACCAGCAAACAGATGAGGAGACAAGGAAAAGCTCTCTCTTATTTCAAGTGTAAGTACTTCTCTCACTAAACTACAGAACCTATTATTACAAAACTAGTTCTTGTGGCAATATCACAAGTAATAAAGTTCCCTATCTCATTAGGGCCAAGTTTAAACTTGCAGCTGAGTAGCTAAGAAATCCACACTAGTTATATGCTCACATACTTGTTGTATATTTACTTAATATTAATCCTGTCCTGTCATTTGCCCTGCTCTTGGTAACAACAGAGACAGCTGTTATATATATATTTTATATATATATATATATATATGTGTGTGTGTGTGTGTCTGTGCATGTGCACATATATATATAAATATATTAGTGCCAGTTAAAGAATAAATCTTTTGGAGCTAAGTGAAGTGAGACTGTAGCCCAGCTGCGTGCCAAGACAGTAATAAATATTACCTTCTGTCGGATTCTTCCTTTTCCCCCCAGACTTTTGTAAACTAGCCTAATTTATCACCATCACGATTCCTCCCTGCTCGGTCATTCCTTTTCTCCTCAGTTTCCTAGGGCCTGGGAGCAGTTGGCCTGCTACATTCAGGAGCTTTCATGAGGGCTCGATACCTTTTAGTCCCTTCCGTGGGTGGCCCAGCAATTTCTGCTCGAGGGAGGCATTAAGTGTTGAAGTAAACAAATAACAGAAGGAAAAAAAGGCAAAGATTATGATTTTTGACTTACAGTTATGAACGTGCAGGGATGGATACCCAACCTCAGTCTATAGGGCCCCTGCGTTTCCCCTTGGAGGGGAATGGTGCCACTACATATTCTAGCCCAGCAAGCATCGATATCAAAAGCTTGCAAGCTTTAATAATCATTCTCTGGGCTGATGCTGGACATGATTTTATAATATAGTTAGTAATTGACTTCAACTGTGTCCAAAGCAAAATTATTTCAGCAGTAATCCATTAGCAGTTATACCATGAAATTCAGTGGTCAATTCTGTATTATTAAATATAAAAGAATAATGTATTATATTGAATTACAGATTGAGAAAGTAAAATATATATACACACGCACACAGACTCCTGGTATCCATTAGATTTAACTCCATCACCAGAATCTATCCAGTCATCTAGTTACATTGCTTCTCTCATTCTAGTCTTGCATACTTTCCTGCCTCTCATTAAACATACAGCTACCTATAGTCTCATGAGGGATCACACGCTCAAAAGCAGCCCGGTGCTGGCCTGGTCTGCAAGCAAGCAGCATTTTTCTTTGCCTTCTTCCTGCTGTTGCTGCACGGTCCCTGCACGGGGTCAGGGAAGAGCCGTGTTTGGCCGTGGGCGCCCAGACACAGTATCTCCATGGGAAGGGCTTTAAGAGCCAACCCTGTGGGCAATCACAGGGCAACCAAGATGATTAAGGGACTGGAGCATCTCTCGTACGAGGAGAGACCAAGTTGGGCCTCTTTTCTCTGGAGAAGAGAAGGCTGAGAGGGGATCTGATTAATATGTGTAAGTACCTGAGGGGGGAATATAGGGAGGATGGGGCCAAGCTCTTCTTGGTGGTGGCCACTGACAGGACAAGGGGAAACGGGTCTAAGTTGAAACCCAGGCAGTTCCATCTCCATGTGAGGAGAAACTTCTTCACTGTGAGGGTGCCAGAGCCCTGGCACAGGCTGCCCAGGGAGGCTGTGGAGTCTCCTTCTCTGGACGTCTTCAAAACCCGCCTGGATGCCACCCTGTGCCCTGTGCTCTGGGTGTCCCTGCTGGAGCAGGAAGGTTGGACCGGATGCTCTCTAGAGGTCCCTTCCAACCTCAACCATCCTGTGAACCCACCAACCTGTGCTCAGAGGGCCCTGGGGCCAGTCCCCACCTCCCTGTCAGGCACCCGGCTCTCACCATGGGATTTTGTTCCTGCTCTTTCCTGTTTTGGTTGCTTCCATTAGTGCCAAGTGGAAGTCACTCAGGCTGAAATGACATATTTGCTCTCCTCTGAGGAAGAGCCGTAACATTGCTTTGCAAGGAATCAAACCTACCGCCTTGTGCTGAGTCACAAGCAGGAGATTGTTCTCATCTACACCAGAAACAACGTTCCAGGATTCTTCTAGAGAAGACCAGGGTCTGAGATACGACAGAACTGTGGGAAATCACCCATCTAATTGAGATGAATTGGTAATAAATGATAAATAGGAGGAACTGCATTCCAAACATATACTGCAAAAAGATAAGACTGAGGGTTTTCCCTGCCACCTACACAAAAGCATCACTTCAGTTTCCTTTTATTATCATTACTGTGTTGTTACAGGCTCAGATTAGCCCCAAGGAAGGGTGGCAAGTTTACAGCTCAGCCCAGGATCCTGACGGCCGATGCATTTGCACTGTTGTTGCGCCCGAACAAAACCTGTGTTCAAGAGATGCCAAAAGCAGGCAGCTTAGACAGCTGCTGGAGAAGGTAAGTGTTCCCAACCCCTGCCTCCACTAAAAGGTAGACCTAAAATGTATTTTCAGCAGACATTTTCCAATACTTGTATATCTATTAAAAAATGATGCAAGTGCTAACGTAGTGTCGGATCCTACAGATTTTCCCTCCATAAACCTCAGAGTTGAGCGGAGGCTTCAGCTTGTAAAGGAGCCCAGAGTATGAGGTTCAGCTAAGTTGGACATACATCAAACACAAGCAATCCCCATCTCAAACAAAAGCTGAAGTGTAAAGATCAGGGGGCATGTTTGCTCCTGGCACAAAACTTCATCCACCTCTCCTTGCCCTCACCTCCTCTCTACAGACTATTAACGGGCTTTAATGAACCATTTTATCATCCCTGAAGCCCTGGGAAATGAGACATCCTCCTCCTTTCCCCAGCTAAACTCATCATACTTTTTCTGGGGGTTGGACTCGGGGAGGGTTTACATCACCTGAGTAGTAGCTTAAACCTGATACAAATCTCAACCAAATTGCATTATTGCCTTGCCACTTGCTATGCATGACAAGACAGAGCGCCTCGGATTAGATCTGATTCAATAAGAGTTTATCTATGACTGCCAAAGTTAGAAATTAAGTTCTGATATTTCTAAGTATGTCTGTGTGCATATCAAGTTTCCAAAGCAAACTGAGCCAACACGCTCCTCTTACAAACTGAGAGCAGGTTCTTATCTCACCTCCAGCTGTCACTGAAGTCAGCTTGGGTGAGACACGGACCTGAACGTTCACTTCGCTCCTCAATGCATTTTTCTACCAGTGAGACTATTTGATAAAATTGCTATTTTATTTTTTATCTCCTTATGAAATCATAGCCAAACACCTGTCCAACGATGGGAGCATCCATGCGCTGTGCTTGGGAGAGAAGTCACGGCACAGAGCACGTCCCGAAGGACGGGCAGAAGGACAGGGTCGATGCCAGGGACATCAGCAGGCTCTGCTGAGCCCCACTCCATAGCAGGGCTGGAAGGGCCTCTCCCTCTCCCCTTCCCTTGCCCTCTAAGGTCAGGTTTTGCACAGCTGTGCAGTCAGGGAATTTAAACCTCAGCTGTGCTCTGACTCGCGACTAAAGCGCTGACATAAGCCCCTTTTATTGCCTGCCATTTAACTGCCTAACCAGGAAAAAGAGTTAAAGCAACAAGAAGTGCATTTAGAGGGTGTTCTTCTTTAACAGGTTCAGAATATGTCCCAGTCTATTGAAGTTTTAAATCTACGGACTCAGAGGGATTTCCAGTATGTTTTAAAAATGGAAACACAAATGAAAGGGCTGAAGGCCAAGTTTCGGCAAATTGAAGATGATCGGAAGACATTAATGACAAAGCACTTTCAAGTAGGTTTTATTTTTAACACTAACTTTGAAAGGCTGCTGCCAGCAGCGTACTAAGCAGCAACGCATGGGCTGCTAAGATCTCAGCTTGAGATGCTCGCACAAAGGCGGCATTAAAAGGCAAAGCGTAAAAAAAAGCTGCCTTTATGATGATAATCTTTTGCTCTGTTTAATTGTAATAGGGAGTAGCCATTAATTAAGACATTACAGAAATGTCACTGCAAATAGCTTCCTGTTTTCTTCTGTATCAATGTGCATGTCATACTGAGAAATGTATATTCATGCGAGCGCCGGTGATAAATGTGGCGATGCCACGAACTTAATAGCAAACAGCCAGAGAGCTCTGCAGTTCTGCTGCAGCCTGACATTTAGTGCAGCTAAGGGGAGAAAGCCTGCAATAAATCAGGTTATTGTAATTTTTATCCAGTACAATTAAGATCTAATTTTGTGTTGGAAGGTTTGCTATTTCGGGTTTGGGACAGGGGAGGAGGGAAAGCAACCCAAGTCACATTTGTGTGATTAGAAAAGGACTTTCAAGGAATGTTAAGGACAAGAGAAAGCACAGGGCGATCTCTTTGCAAGGGAGGGGATGGCAGAGATGAAAAAACAGGATTGTGTATTCACAAAATGCTATCTGAAATGCTTTTAAAGACAAAATGTTACAAGAGCATATTAAAGCACCTCAAATACTAAGTCTGATAAATGGCTGTTTCAAGGCTCCAAGAGAGCCAGAAAGGATCTAGAAGACAAATTCCAAGGATTAAATTTAGTTACCTTGATAGATATTTTGAAGTGTTCATGAATACCCACACAATTATGGACTAAATTTGTTCAGCAGTGCTCAAGTTAGACACCTAAATCAGCAAGTACATAGCTAAGGGGTCCAATTTTATTCCTCAGATCCACTGAATATCCAATGGGTCTTAATTATGCCAGGAGTTAAGTATACTAATGGCCTGACCACAGAACTTCATTGCCTGTGTTATCATTCTTAGTTTAGCTTAGAGTTTGAGTATATAGTCCCAGACATTTTCCAGTCAGCAAGAAATACCTCCGACTTTCCTTTTCTTAGAGCTCCTCACAGGAACTCCACACGTGCACAGTGCAATTGTACATTTTGCCTCCCATTATAGTTTTCCTTGGGTACCAAATATCAAAATTTGAATGTCTGATACAGGACGTCAAAGGCAGCAGCATTCAGCACTACCCTAACCTTTTAAACATTCGATACTCACATTGGCCAGTCACTTAGCTTTGGTTTGACGATTTGGCAGGAGTCTAAAGCAGATTTCCAGCCGATCAAACTATAGAATAATTTAAAAGGTCAACACGATACCATATGCTGCTGGCTTTCCAAAATTCGATCTACTAAAATCCCAGTGCTTTATCTTGCCCGAGACAAAGCAGCTCGCTTCAGATATAGCATTACCCCCCATGCCAGCAAGCCTGAGGTGCCAAAACACATCTACCACCTATCAGTGTTGCAATCGTACCGGTTATCACAGCAACAGGGCAAGAGGGCCTGCAGATACCAGGAAAACATTCATTTTTGTCATGAAAACACCCATAACATCAGTACGTCCCTTACCAAGTGAAATGTTCCGGCACCAGTGAGGACAAATTTGATCTGGATCCCACTTAAGTGTACAGTCACATCAGCATTTATGCCAGGCACAAGATCCCTGATCCTCCCAAAAGTTAGAGTAGTTTGATCAAAAGAAACCTTATTTAGCATAACGCCTATGAGAAATAAATTGCCTCTACTAATTCTGAGAAACAAATTGCCTTTACTAATTCTGTTAAAGACTTTATTTTGATGATTTTTTACAGGCTTTGTTCTATTTTCTCTCCACGCTTTAACCATGATTTTTGAACCAGAGCCTAAATTCATTTCAAAATTAAACACCAAATATATTGGATTCCAGAGCTCTGCTTTCTAAATCATCTACTCATTATCATCACATGCAACATAATTGTTCTTTTTAATAGGTATAAATTAGGTTCAAGTTAAGTTTTTGATAAGAGCAGTCAAATAAAAATAGTTCCAAGGCAGACAAAGTTGACTCTCCACTTCTTCCTGTTCAGTAACTCTGCTAACTATCATGGTTTGAAGGCCCCTTGAAAACACAGAGAGGCCCTCGTAGGCCCATTTGTATCAACACATATGCTTGTAATTTACACACAGGCCATCCCAGCAGTGGCAGGGCTAACCTGGCACCTCGCACCACATTTGCTTTCTCTTGCTTGGGCTCCCATTTGAGCTCTCTTCTGCTTCCTCTTCTCCCTGCTGACTTCCATCTCCTCTTTAGGATTTATTTTCTAATCCCTTCAGCAGCCTCTCCCAGGGTGTCCTCGTCTGTACCCAGGGGCTGTTCTCACCAATACTAGCACCTACCAAATTCCATTTCCACCTTCTCCCGCTCTGCCCGGGCTTGCCTCTCCTCTGCTCCCTCCGGCATTTGCTCACCAAAGCCTTGCTGTTTTCTCAAACTGCAAACACAAATGCAATCTTTCTGTACAGCTTTATATGTCAAAGCCAACCTGCATGCTTTTCCTAAGGCAAGACCTTCTAACAAACAAGAATAAAACTTCCACTAGTTAAACTAATTTAACAAAATCTCTAAAGTTAGCACTTGGAATTAAAAAATTAATTACAAGACAAGTGATGAGCAGCCCTCATGGGATGCAAACTGCTGAGACAAATGCCCTGCGTGCATGGCAGAGCTGCAACCTGAGGCTGCAGACAGAGAGCAGCCCCTGGGGCAAAGCCGAGCCCAGCTCCAGCCGGGGCAAAGCTGAGCCCGGTTCCCGCTTAGGCAGCGCCTGGGAACGGCAGTGCCAGCTGCGGCTGCGTGTGACAGTGAAGTGACCAGGGAGAGCAGAGCACCAAGAATGTGTGAGGAAGTCCAGAGGGCTGCAGCGAGGGACTGAGCAGGAAGACAAATGCAACTCATGGATGAGAAAAGCACGTTTTGATCTATACACACATTCAATAGATTGTGAGCTTATTACTTCAGAAGAAAAACATATATATCACTGAGGCCAGATCAGCACTAAACGGAGTTCAGCAGCCATCATGGAAAAAGTGAGCTCAGTAATTTTTAAGGCATAAAAAAATAACCATTCAACTATGACAGCACCATAAAACACTGTTGCCATCCCTGCTTGCCACTGTGTTCAGGCCTAATCACCTTCTCTCCTGAAAAATCCCACGGCTTTTATGGAAAGTCGGGCCTTCAAGAGGTTTGCTTCGAGCCTCTTGAAGGTATCTGCACAAGAAACCGGCTGTTCTCTTTTATCCACCACTTACTGTCATTAATCCTAAAGTTTCTAGGACTTTCACTATAGCTATTAGACAATAAGCTAATACATCTATTTTTTTTTTAAAAAAAAATCACCTTTTAATAATCATGTATAAATAGTATAATCATGGCAGTTAGAGGGTTGAACTCTCTTAAACTGCTCTAATGCCCATCGGATTGCCTCTTACAGGAGCTGAAGGAAAAGATGGATGAGCTCCTGCCGCTGATCCCAGTCCTGGAACAATACAAAACTGATGCCAAACTCATCACCCAGTTCAAGGAGGAAATCAGGAACCTGTCTGCTGTTCTCACTGGGATTCAGGAGGAAATCGGTGCCTACGACTACGATGAGCTGCACCAGCGGGTGCTCAGTTTGGAAACGAGGCTTCGAGACTGCATGAAAAAACTCAGTAAGTTAACGATTTCCTGTCAAACTTTCATATTTGGTCCCTCCTGCTGACTTATTTAGGGCAACTGGATGTTCATCACAAACATCCTCTGAAAAATCCTCATCAGTTCTCTGTCAGATATCCCAATTGGAAGCCATAACTATCTTTATTAAGTGCCAGCCTTCATTTCTAAGTAGGGGTAATCAGTAAGTACCTACTCTGCAGCCATGATGCAAAGTTTCCCCTCCTTCACCTGATCTTTAAAGGCAGGGACAAAGCCCACAGCAGCTCACAGGTGCAGACTAGTCCACGAGGAAATCCAGCATTCCCTCCGTTCCCAGAAACCCGGGCAGACTGCTAGCAAAACTGGCAGTTCTACAGCTGGCAATCCAGCCCCCTTTGTGAGAAATAAATATTTTACAAGTTAAAATTGAAACCGAATGAAATAGTAATTACTAAGTTCACCTCCAGGGTCAATGTCTTCGTTATCAAGTTGGGGGGGGGATGCTTTTATAAGTTACATATAACATGAAACTTGCCTTGAAGGTAGTAAGCAGGGCCACTTGGCTTCTGTAAGGCAACAGAATAAGAAAAAAATATCTAGGTTAGGTTGTCCTCTTCAATTATTTATTTTCAGTCCCCTTATTTGCCACTAGAGAACGTCTAGCACTGATGGGCAAAAAGACATGAAAGAATTCTTCAGCCAGAGCTCTCACGATCCCTCTTCCCCTCAGTACGCAGACACACCAGCGCGTTCCTGACCGGCAGCCACAGGAGAAGGGCTGCACTGCAATGATGCAGCAAACAAGAAAAATGGTATAAAGAGACAATATATTCCTGAACATCCCACTAAGTGTATTAGGCACCAAGAGATCATCTCATCTTTGACAACTATCTCATTCTTCCTTGCTTTTATGGCACGTGCTTGTAACACTGAGCAGGAAAGTAACTGCAGCAGGGGACACATTATAAACATCGAATGACCAGGTGTATTCAGAGATGCTCTTCCCAGATTCTTGCCTTTCATTTCCTAATTATCTCCCCATTTTTCCCTTCCTTTCTATTCTGCAAAACATGCTATATTTGAGATATAAAAAAAAATATATAAAAATGATGGATGTTAATAGAAAGAAGAATATATGTACAACACAGACTACTATACACATCCATCTCCCTAGTGCACTCGTGCCACAGGTTCTGTCTCCAATCGTCAGAGATTTTTGCTGAGTTTCCCAACATAATTTCCTCACTACTATGTGTACGAGCTATTTTGTCATCCTTCTCCCTAGCAGGTGTCTCTCAACGATGCTGCTGCTGCATGATGCATTATTTATTTGGTTCTGGCCACTTAAAAGGGATCTTCCATCTGCACTGGCATCCCCTGCAAGAGTCGTTAGCAGTTTTCTTAGTTTCACTGAAGTTTAATGATTACTGTAGCAGTTGTGATGAGTCAGACTTGTTCCCTTTCCCTGGAACAGGATAAAATTCAAGGTGAAGATGCTAAAAAAAAGGCCACAGACCTTTAAAAGGGTATATGCTATGAAACATGTACGAAGACAGTGTAGGAGCGTAACTCCCAAACAACAAATTTGCATGCACTTATGTACACATGAATGTTTAGAAGGTTGACATGTGAGGTGTGTGCATGCATAAGAAGATGCAGGTTGTGTTTTATCTGGGACTCATATTTTGGTAATAATCTGCTTAGTAAATTGGAAAGAGAGAGATATGGCAAGCATTCATGCAAAGCCAGAACTCTCTGCCAACCATTGCTTATGAAATGTGAAAAAGTAATTAGAGGAGATACACACCGGATTCATTTGTAGCTAACATCTAATTATAATGTAGAGTCTAAAAACCATTTTACATAAACATTTTTCCTTAGGACTTGAAAAGCAGAACATAGTATTTAGCCAAAGAAATGCTGTTAGCTCACGGCAAAAAAATGCAGGCACTTACAGATTCAGTGACACTTGCACCACCAGAGCATCTTTCCCTTCAGGGTTTGAAGAGCTTTAAAGTTAGCACTTACTACAAAACTCTTCAAAGGAGATAAATATCATCTTCATTTAGAATATAAAGAAACAAGAAGTCATTTCCCCCAGAATTACACAGCAAGACGTGACACACTTGAAGCAGAATCCACAGGCTTCCTCTTGGCAAGTTCTAATAAGGAGACGATGTTTTCTGGATTTGCATTAGGTACAAGAGCACTACACCCATTAAGCAAGAAGTAATTCTTCATTCCCTCCCATTATAAAGTAATGTTGTGACAGATTTGATCTTAAGGAGGGAAGTGAAAGCAGCAAAGCACATGCAACTGGCCTGCTCACACTGGAAAAACACTCACTTCATTTTCCCCTTTTTATTACTTACGATACATAGAATAATAATGCATTACAGGGGGTTGTTTTAGTTGAGATGGATTTTATTACCCTTGTAAATATTTTAATATTTCATACACTTGCTCAGTGTATGTATATATATCAACTACCAATACTCACCAGCATCATCAAGACCGGGAAGATAACTGCCCTTTCCTACCTGCTTTTAACATAGCTTCCTGCCCAACTGGTCTTCACAACCTTCTCCTGATATTTGCTGCCCTTGGAGCGAGTTCACATGCATCCTGCCCCACAGTCTTTCCCAGACTACAGGGGCAGCTCATCTGCCTACTTTATACAAATGCCTGCCCTGTGCTCTGCAGCAGCTTTGCAATGAACACATGAAAGCACAAGCAGCCTTACTAAGTCCATGATGGAGAACTTTGGAGACAGAGCCAAGCCGTAAACACCCAGGCTGAACACTGCGTGACGTTCTTTGCACCGTCTCATTTAGGATGGACCAGCGCTGCAGGATTTGATTTGCCAATAAACATAAGTGTTCATGATTGGGATTTTCTAACCTGGTGAGATGCTGCCTTAGTAACCAGGAGAAAGAGGCCACTGCTGAGCTTCAAATCACCGCATCCTAAGAGTGTGCGACCACGTCTGAAACTTGCTGGAAAAAGTTTCTGGAAAAAAACATCTAGAAAACTCACAAGAGCGCTTTTTTTTTTTGTGCATTTTCTAAACATTTCTGAACCTCCTGACATTTCTTAGTATGGTGATGCATATGACCTACCTTCTCACTGCCATCTGGTCCTTCTCCTGGCAGGGAATTAAAAGACTAGAGGCTGTAGCCAGAATTGTTTCTTTTTACCAGTAAAGGAAAAGCTTTCCAGCCATGACAGGGGTCAATTCCACATCATCCTACATTGCTTTTTGCCAGAAGGAAAATAAAACAAAAACACATATACACACAAAAAAAGAGCTTTTGGCCATGCAAAGAAATGCAGAGGCCAGTTCTAATTCTCAGCCATTTCACTGTTATGGAGAATTCATGTGGCAGATGGTTTTTCTGCTTCACTGAGATCTTTCCCAACTGTATTTCCACATTCACAACCAGTAAATAGTGTAATAGGAAAAATAATAATACCTTGCTCATAAAAGATCTCTGTCACAAGTTATTTAATGAAAAGGGATTTGTTGATAGGAAGCCTCAACAGCAATAAAAAGCCATGCATCTCAAATATGGTAATAACTGCAAATCTGCTACTCATATTTGGGTCGGTAGGAGGATATAGCAGAGGAAAACATTGCCACCTCCTCTGGCTACCAGGTCTGTCTTTCAGGGCTGTTTTAGAAAAAATATTTTTTTTCTACCTTGCTTCTAAAGGAAACAGGAAACCTTTGCTTTGTACCTGATGAGTTTCAGCAGCAGGAGCTCCTTTATTCTCACTGCAAGAGGAAAACAGAGCAGCAAAATATTTTTTCTGTAATTTCGAGCCAAATAATTGAAGAATTTTGTTTGCTGATCGGTTTGTTTTTCATGAGGTACCATTCCAGTTGAAAAAAGGCCCTCAAAGTGCCACAGAAAACTAGCAGGAAGGAAGCAAAGCCTGGAGCTGACAGAACTTCCACAATTCCCACTGTCCAGGCAACGCTGCTGCTTTAGGGATGTTTTAGAGTCACTTGCAAAAGGAAACTTACCTTTATAAAGTCACCATCGCTAATTATTTCAGGGTAAAACAGCTCAATAAACTGCATTCTGAAGCAGCGTGCCATCAAAATGATGTGCTACTCGTTTGGAATAAATTACTTACTTGCAATAGTAATTCAGCAGTACTTCAGCACAGAGAGCACACTTGCAACTTTATAATGAGCTAAACCACAAACGACCCCGATTCTGCCAATACTTCACCGTTCTATAACAAACGGGCAAGGATATTTAAAGGGGAGGCTCTGAAGACAGCACTGAATGTTTATGAGCAGTATAGTAGACAAGTCCAGCATGAAACACTACCAGCACCAGCTTCCAAACAATTCGTGTATGAAAGCCTCTTGTGATATGGTAACTAACTGGGCAAAAACGGGCAAGATGCTTCTAATATATCAATTATAGGACACATCCACTGAGACACGTACACAGAAATGCCTCGGTGTTGCCCCAGAAAGCAGGCAGAGGCTCCCTGAGGCTTCCTCAGGGCCCCTTTCCCCACTCGGAGGAGACACCCCGAGATGTCCCCAAGTGTCACCCCCATCGTCGGCTCGAGCAGCCTGGCACAAAACGTCCCCCGTTGGCGGGGAAGCCGGGCACGAGGTGACCTGCTCCTCTGAACTGAGTAAATTCACTCTCAACATCATCTGCACTTTGCCCGTCGCATTTCCTGGATGGGTTGTGCTACACGCCGTGGCAGCACAACCACCGGTCAGGGACAAGGGCTTATTTTTGAATTAAAAGAAATGAAACATGCTGCTTTTTTACATTCATATGGAAAATCTTTTCCTCGGCAACATGCTTTCTCACTTAATCACCTATCCCCCTGTGTGATATTAAGCCCTTCAGCAAACACATGCATTGACCTGGAGCTTGCTGCTAATGGGTATGTTATCAATGTCTCCTAAAATATAGATTTTTGGATGGTTAGGAAGGTCAGCATTCAAGATCATATTGACTCTCATTATTTCCTCCCAGACAGCCCAGCACGAGGCAGACTAGCGGATCAGAAGCCAACTGAGAGGGCCAGAGCTCCTGAAAAATTCTCACATTCACGTTCTGAACATCAGGCAGGTCCTAGCACTGACTGTGGGCACCCAGCCAGACAGGGCATTTGGGCACCTATTCCACCATCAAACCATTTTCTGGTCTGCTCCTAAGCTTCCTGTTACCCTGGTCAACAGAAAACTCAAACACCCACCAACTTTTATGTTTTCCTGACCCTCTGGAGATCTAAATTTGGGAGATTTTATGTCTTCTCTGTATTTATTATTAAATGTTATTAAGTGTATCTGCAAAGATATTCTACCAGGTTATATTTATGCCCAGAAAGTGTATATTTTTATATATTTTAAAGCACAGATAAATAATTATTAGGATTTTCTTTTAGGTTTTTCCCTCTGTGTTACTCAATACAGCAAAGTTCCTACTGTGCAGGTGACAATCCATCCTCAGTGTAAGCCTGAATCCCCTGGAGCCACTGTTTAATTTAGAGCAATGAGTCTTGTGCTCTGAGTGATGCCAAGGAGAGCCGTGTAATTGTTTGCATTAATGCATTTGTTTTTCTTTTTAATTTCAGCATGTGGCAAATTGATGAAAATCACAGGCCCCATTACAGTCAAGATATCTGGAACTCGATTTGGAGCCTGGATGACAGATCCATTAGCATCAGAGAAAAATAACCGAGTACGTTAAAACACTAAACACCTTTGTGTCCTTGCATTATCTTCACCTTTAAGGATAGATTTGTTTTTCCCTAAATCACACTTGCAAGCAGATTTCTTGCACTTCCATCATTTTCACTGTTTAACATCTTTGGAAAGAAAACTAAAAGAATTTGTGCCAAAATATTCAAAGACAAAAGTCAGCTAAGCTTACCGTGCCATTTCCTTAAGCTCTTCTGTGGATGCTGCATACTTATCTGATACACCGCAGAGATAAACTGAGGAGAGAAAAGATAAAAGAAACAAAAGAAAAACAGAAGATGGTTCCTAAAAACTCTCCTGGTTTCATCACTCCTGTACTTGGTTTCTTTCATCAAAACTCACTGGTTTTCACTGACTAGAGGTTTAGCTGAAGAAAATGCAGCCAAATCTATTCATAAGCATAAAGACCAAGCTTAGCTCACAGAACATTTTCCATCTCTCTCTTTCAAATTATTAATCCCTGGGAATACCTTTAAGCAAGCCCCCATAAAGCAGACACCTAAGCATTAAATAATCTGAAATTTAATTTCTCTGCAACTGCAGAAACTGTAGTTTTAATAGTGCCCCAGAGAGCTCATTTTTATAGGTAAGTTCCAGTTGAGAAACTCTAGAGTTCCCCATGACCATCTAAGATAAATGCTAACAATGTTGCCCCGTGCTAGCACTCCCCATGCCTAGAGGCCTTTCCTGGCTGGCTTGGGTAACATATGGGTCACGCAGCCGCGTGGCCACGGATCATGGGCTGCATTCCAGCGTTCACTTCCCACCTTTGCTCTCCTTCCAGGTCTGGTACATGGACAGCTACACCAACAATAAAATAGTCCGCGAATACAAGTCAATGGCCGAGTTTGTGAGCGGGGCCGAGTCAAGGACATACAACCTTCCCTTCAAGTGGGCAGGCACCAACCACGTGGTGTACAACGGCTCGCTCTATTTCAACAAGTACCAGAGCAACATCATCATCAAGTACAGCTTCGACACGGGGCGGGTGCTGGCGCAGCGCAGCCTCGAGTACGCCGGCTTCCACAACGTCTACCCCTACACGTGGGGCGGCTTCTCCGACATCGACCTCATGGCCGACGAGATCGGCCTGTGGGCCGTCTACGCCACCAACCAGAACGCGGGCAACATCGTCATCAGCCAGCTCAACCCCGACACGCTCGAGGTGCTGAAGAGCTGGAGCACGGGCTACCCCAAGAGAAGCGCCGGAGAGTCCTTCATGATCTGCGGCACCTTGTACGTTACTAACTCGCACCTAACGGGAGCCAAGGTCTACTACTCCTATTCCACCAAAACCTCCACGTACGAGTACACAGACATTCCCTTCCATAACCAGTATTTTCATATATCCATGCTTGACTACAACGCAAGAGATAGAGCTCTCTATGCCTGGAATAATGGACATCAAGTCCTGTTCAATGTCACTCTTTTCCACGTCATTAAGACTGAGGATGACACATAATTTTCTTCCCCTCTCCTCATCCCAGTTCAGAACATGTCATTTGTGATAACTCTAGAGCATCCATCTCTCTAGGTTTCTTTTAATTTCCTTTTCTTTTTAATTCATTAAAGGAAAACATCTTCAGCCATACAATGCATTTCTAACATGGCTGAGCCTGTCAAAAAAGACCTGTTGGAAATAAAAGCATCTTAACTCGCGATTCTACAAGGTCCGCCAAGGCCTCGTCATGAAAAGCACTAAGGAGAGTTAAAGTGGCTAAAGACATAGTTTTAAAGATTATGACCTGCCTTATATTAGAGTCAGAGACTAATGGTGGCTTAAATGCATGAATGTCTTTTTTACCTCATCTTTTTTTTTTTTTTTTTTTCATCTATATATTGCTCAATTTAAGGAATTTTTTTTTTTGGTTGTAATCTGACACAAATTGCACATTGTGTTTTTTTTATTATTATTATTATTTATTCCAAATGAAAGACTCAGAAATTTAATTTACTTAAACACAGAGTTCAGTTCATTTTGCCATCACCCAATTTCAGATGTGGTGCTGTACAGTATGTTTTTAAATCTCTTGCAAACATTTTATGGACAGTATGTATTTCTACCATTGTAACCACCATTGTGCAATTGTATCTCTTCACTTATGTGAAAGTAAACTAAGTACTATTTTTTATAAAATACATTGAAGCTTAATTGCAGTTCTGGCTCCGGGTCAATCACAAGCGGTAAATCTGAGAAATAGCCCTTACTTCTGCGTGAGAGGGATCAATAGTTTGTTGGGGGCGTGAGCCCCATTCCCAGACGTGGTGGGTAGAACCCTTCCCATCCAGGCTTGGTACTTACCAGCAAATATGCGACCCCGGAGCCTAACGCCAATCCCAGCTTTGCAATTAGTCACACCACCCAAATTCCCCCTCGTGGCCCTTCTCACCTGGGCACCCAGGCCCAATGTCCACACAGCTCGCGTGGCTGCCTCCTTCCTAGGGCAGCGAGGAGCAGAGTTGCAGGGCAAGTCTGCACATCTAAGTCACCCCTAACATCAGCACAAGGACCCACTGACAAAGGGTTTCTCTAGGACAGGAGTTAGATGGGGGAAAATAAATACATAAATAAATCATAAAAAGGATGAGTTCCAAAGCCAAAGTGATCAGACATTTTGGCAGATCTATCTGAAGCCATTTCATCCATTCTTCCAACAAGCCAGCCGATAGCCACTCAAGTTCCAAGAACATTTTCATTATTATAAATAAATCTGTCTACTTAAATATACTTTACAATGTAAGTGCATTAGGAGTTACACAACAAAACATCTTATATTCCACACTGTCTGCAAAGCAGAAAACAACTTACAGGAGTCAAGAACTGAAAATGTGAGGGGGGGAGGAAAAAAAAAAAAAAAAAAGAACAGAAAAAGTTGCTCTCCTACCTGCATGGTCCTTGCTGCCAGGCTGAAGCACCAGGTCCTCAGGTTTTGAAGGCACCAGGTAAACAGGTAAATGTCCCAGCAGTTAAACCACTCCCTCAGCAGCTGAAACATATCCCTGTATCAGCAACGTGACTCCTGGGGCACCCGAAAGTGTCTGCAACTACCGCCCTCAAAGGTATTTTATGTGGCATAGGTATGGCTCATGGAAATGTGCTCAGACTTCTATCCAACGCCCTCAAAGAAATGCTGGCTTCTCCCCCACACTGAGTAACTTGAACCATGTGTTTTTTTTCCCCCACAAATACAACATTCTTATAAACACTAATCTTATTATAGTGAGAAATTAAACTTTATTATCACAGACTAATGTTCATGTCATGGGGATTAATTCGTCTGAAAAAAATGGTTGCTACTTCATTCTTTATAAAAATTTCACACTGTGTAATTAGTACAAGCAGGTAAGAGTTCTTAAAACCAGATTAATCTCACCTGTTTTTAATACCATTAAATTAACCATTTAAAAGTTGACAAGTCTCCACTAAGACTACATTCCTCAACTCCTTCTATTAGTCAAGTCAGAGGAAAAGCACCCTGCTACTAAAGCACCTGTAGAGAAGGGGAGGAAAGACAGGCGCTTTGGGAGGATGATCCATCTTATTGACGAAGCTGCAGCACTGAGGCCTATGCCTCAGGTTTTGCAGGTTATGCCCTGCAAAACAAGTAACAGGGGTTGGGTTCCATACCTCTAAATGTGAAATAACAGCCTATGTAGCATCAATGTGGCAAAACCTGATTAGTGCCCCATCAACAAATAGGGCTGCTTCTTGCTGAGGAACCTTTTTTTTTTTTTTTTAAACGAATCAGTGCTGAGCACCTGAATGTCTTTTCCAAAATCAGATTCTTAAAAGGCTGCAAAAACATCATCACTCAACATATCATGAATATCTTCATAACACGATGCAAACCTATATGTCAGTAAGTTCTATTTTTCTAGGCAAAGGGTAGGCAGTTTGTTACGAGGACGTAGTGACACCAGAGGAAAAATAATCTCTCTTTAAATATGGAAAAAGTAAGAACAGTAATAACAGACCTGCTTTAATACTATAGTGATGAATTACAGCCTCCTGCTCCAAGTGCAAGAGGAAGGGTATGAATAGAAGAGCACCCTGTCATTCCTGCACCCAGGACAGAGGCTCCTCTAGTCAAAATCTGTAAGGAAATCTCTTGTTTGCACAGATTTTTCCCTCTAACTCACTTGCAGAGTTTTCGCTGAGACCTGAGAGCCAAGGTTTGGGGCTCTCTAAAGCTTCAGTTTGCCATAGACTCCCATAGCTTCACAAATCTTAAGATGTGGAGGAATTTTGTCCAAATGCCAAATAACGCGGCAGCACCCGCAGAGCTCTGGCTACATCCATTGCTCCAGACTCCCCTAAAACAATCAAGCTGCGGACACAATCCAGAAGCCCAAGTGAAACCTGGGTTTACTCAGGACTATTTCCATTTAAAATGGCATAGTTTAAAGCACAGCACACCATAAGTGCAGGTAATATTCAGGTTAGCTTTATTCTGCCCCACGTTTGCATTCACAGGCTGCCTTCCTGAACACTGTTTGACTGATACCCCACAGCAGCACAAAAAAGTATGCAAAGATATGAAAGAATGATAGCTAAAAGGTCAGCTTCTGCATCTCAACACACAAGCCATTGTACTGAGCTTTTCATATCAACCTTCTGGTTGATTTCCTATTTACACAGTACACATTTCTCGCCTCCCCTGTGAACAGTAAGACTCCACTGCGTCAGAAATCTGCTTCACATCAGTCAGGATTATTTTGGTTCTTTGCTGGAAAGAACTCACAGTACAAAAGCGACTTGCAGTAGCAGAGCTAAACAATATTAACTGCTCCTAGTAATCCTAATCAACCTGCAGGATAAGGCAAATATTGCTACTTGCACAAAAATGTGTTCCTTGAGACAGCAGAACTGGGACTCTTTTATTCCCCCCGTTCATTTACCTCTTTCCCATTAAAATATTTAGATTACCTCTCCTGAGTGTTCATATTGATTCTTCAGTTTGGTTCCTGAGATGTCCACTAGGCAACACAGTGCATTTCTAGAAGAAAGAGGAAAGAAAACGTAAGTTGCTGTACTTCTAAATTCAGAAAAAGAGGACATTGGCTGAAATGAGGGCAAGGAGCAGGTAGATATAGTGCCTTATATTCAAGCATCTAGGAAAAACCTTAAAATTGCTCAACAGTGAATTGGGGGCCACGATACTTTTCTTAGAAAGATCTTATTTCAATTGGATTTTAGTGACAATAGGAATGGTTAAAGTGAGCAGAGAAAGGCCACCCACAGGTCCAAATGAGGAAAGAACCAGAAATCCTGATAACCTGGTCTGTGCTTTAATCAGCAGACCACAACCTGAAGGGAACACCTGCTTGTCATGGCCTTCTCCTCCATACATCTCTTCTGCTTCTCTTCAGCCCAAGCTTCCAGGAAGAACACGACTGAATGGCCTCGTATCATTCAGCTCATTTTCCAAGAACATTCCTACTTTCCTATTTTTTCACTCGTTCTACCGATGTTTCCCCTCACTTCAGTACCCAGCGATCCCAAAGACTGATCACTGCAAAATACGTGAATTCATTTAAGCAGGAGAAAGGAGGCATCTCTCTGTTACTAGTACTAAAAGGGCTCAGTCCACAAGGGCGTAATTGTGCAGTGTTGCAGGGAAGCTACAAAGCAGGTCTTGGTTTTCAGCATAGGTGACCACTGCAGATTCCATAAGCGCTTTGTTCCTGTCAGGAAGAAAAATATTAGTCCCCAAGTCCCAGGGCAAAGTCCAACACGCTTTGGGTGTTCATTTCTTGAAGAGGATGGATGGATATAATGCACAAATAAACAGCTGCTCTAATCTTCCCCGGCAGCAGAGGAAGAAATTGCTGCTGTTTACTCTGTGCCGTGTTTGATTCCAAGCACTTTTTCTTTTTTATCAAGTGCCTGGCTTAAAATCCTTCAGGATGAAAACTTCACTGTTTCTGTGAGACCCTGAAGCACCAAAGCAGCCCTAATTTCAGACTGCTGTGAGGAAGAGCGCCCAGCATCCTCTTCTCCAGTGCCCCTGCGGAGGGAATGGCTATTCCCACTTCCCAGAATGTGTCGCTAGCCCAGGCAGAGCCCAGAGAGGCTAAGGAAGGGAAAGAGAGACAAGGATTCAGAAAGGGCCACTGGGCCAGTCTGCAGCTGTGAGGAGCACAGCAGGGATTTTTATGAGCTGTAGCAGCTCCAATATTGCTGGACTTATTGGCTTCCCTCGGACCTCCAGAGCAGACTAGCCACAGCGCAGGGCAGCTGACCCAAGCCGAGACCCTCCCATTGCAGCGCAGGAAAAAGGAAGGATTTTAACCCACCACGCAGCCCTGGCTCACACTGCAGCACGTAGGTTTGGGGAAAGAACAGGAGGTTGGCTAAAAATCACCCTTGCAACCCAAGGAGTAATTCTAAGAGGTTTTAATGTGACCCCTATTCCCCATTTGAACCTTAAAATTAAGGCTGCACTTTCTTACGTGGCCCAAAATAGCTTAGTAGTCAGGATTCAACCACTTTGTTGGTCGAATATAAACATAACATTTGATACGGCTGAATAAACCTTGATTGCTTGATATAAATAAGATATGCAAAAGAAAGACTTGACACCACTCAGTGTAGTATGATCTTACACTGAGGATGCAAAGTAGAAATTGGTCTACACAGTGCATCAAATAAATCTGGAGGAAATTGCTAGATGAAATCCTAGGTTGCAGAAAGAAAAAAGCACAGAATTGACTGTGTTGATAACATAAGTATAGACATGGATGCAGCTGTAAATATAGATCCACGGCAGTACATCAGTTCTATGTGGAAAGGATAAACCCTGCTTGCCA